CCAAAGTGGGATTAATTCAAGAGCGATTTTCTCAGAAACCGTTAAAGATAACGATTTGAAACAAGAGTACCTTTTTAACGTAAAACAGTTCGGGAAAACGGAATTTGCTGTCCAATTTGTTAAAAAGTCAAAGATGAAAAAGTTACACACGCAAAGTTCCAAGGGTCCCCCCGTACCCATCCCTATGGACCTTGTGGAAATAAATGGATTAGTCCATCAAATTGCTCATCAAAATTTAGCTATGTATACCAGATTTCATTCATTTATCACAACGCGATTGAGAGATATTGCAAAAAAATGATTTCCATTCCTCCCTCTTCAATGGGTCCCTGTGCCCTCAGGAAGCATTTCCGGACCCATGTTCATATGAACTTTTTTACTTAGTTTTGATCATAGAATCGGCCTGTTCTGATCGGCTAATTATGAGACACCCTGTATATGATATTGTAAATATTATTATAGAAAGACCGTACAGTAGTAAATAATTTGTAGTAAGGAGAAAATAGTAGTAAAAATAAAATCAATTCTTGCAAGTAATACTTATTTGCAAAAATATATTTCAAACCATTTAGATTTTTTTGTACGGCATTTTGTTTTTGTTGATTATTGTTGTCAGTATTAACAAAATATATTAATGCCGTACAAAAATTTTTCACCGTGAAATCCTACTCTTCAGAGGGAAATTAATTTTCCTATAATTAGCACGTTTCATGAAAAATGTACGGCATGGCCAAAAATGTCGTTATTTTATAAAATAGAAATAAAATTCGTGAATTTGATGTTGGTACAAATACGCTACTTGCAAATAGAGGGTTGCACCCTGTATTCCTAACCCCTGTATCAGCAAGTACGTAGGCGTCGCTTAAAAATTTATCTATGTATCGATCCGATACATAGATAAATGTATGTATAAATGCCGTAAATCACCAAAACCCAAGCCAAAATTTTTGGAAAATCAAAAATTTTTCTGGCTTCCGGTATTGCTATTTTTGTACGGTATTAGGTGGACAGGTTTAGCTTACCTGTGTACCTGTGTACTCACCTGTACCAACAAGAATTGACGGCATAGTTTCTAAAGTTATTGTTATATGTGGTAGTATTGATTTATAAGTAATTCATGCTGGGTCAAATGACCCCATGAAAATTTCCGATGGGCTTGTAGTCTATTATCTAAATTTTTAGTCTTACAATCACTCAAAGAATCACACTTGAAGTTTGACCACGTACTTAAAAAACACCCTGTATACATTTGTCATTTCCAAATTTCTTTGTACTAGTCTATTTGAATAAAACGAGCACTTGCTTCTAAACAATTTTATTACGTTTACATAATTGCAGACATATAAAAAAGCTGGTTACTTGGATCCTCAGTGGTACGTTATAGAAGAGGGAGCGAGATACTGGAACAAAATCAAATGTTAAACAATTATTTTTCCATAAGAATAGGTTTAAAAGTAGTAGACATACTTTTGCAAAAATAGTAAAGTGTTCTTCAATCCATATAGTTAAATATATTTTTTAAATTTTGAAGGCTTACATTTTGGAAACGGAACAATTCTTTTTTAATTTTACCTGAGAAATATTGCTATAAAGTTTTTTGCGTTGAACACCTTGTATTTTAGTGTCCTAATGTGTGTGTAAAAATGATATAAATACAGAGATAAAGAGAAAACATTAAAACAATTATTTAATAAAAGTCAACTTACTATCTCAAAATACAATAAAATAAAGAGAGTGCAGATTTAAAAAAGTACGACCGCTGTAAATGTTTTGACCTCTAAAAGGACAGGTAATCGGAGAAAAATATCACCCAGTATATCGATCTGACTAAAGCTTTAAGAAATAAATCGCCGTAATAGTTCACATAAATGTGCAAAATTTTAACGCGATTGGTAAAAGGGTTATGAAGTTATTAATTAAATTAGTTTTTGACAACTTTGAAGGCTTGTAACTAAAAAACCAAAAATTTCTTTTTCGTAGAACGTATTTATTTACAGTCGTGAATATGCAGTCAAAAGTTCTCGGTGAAATTTGCGGATTACAATACAAGGTGGTTTCAAAGTTAGAACCCAGAACATAAATCTCTAGGTACCACTTTAGAACCAATATTATTCGTACTTCTTAATATTAAAGAGTTAAAACTAATTATTATTCGAAGTTATTAACTCTAGAAAACAACGGATGCATCATAGAACTAAAGTGTATTTTAATCTTTGGGTGATTGTTTCAGTCTTCCACCTCGAAATTAAATGCAATTTGATCATTGGTTTACTACGTACTACACAATACGCTAGTAAAGTATCTTTGGCGCTCAGCTTTTGCGCCATCTCGTGTTTTTTTTAAATCTTGACTATGCCGAAGCATCAGTGTCGTATGGTATAAATGGAATTTAATAAAGATTTATTATTAAATAAAATGAAAAAAAAAACAATCAAATCGTAAGTGTTGCATAGAGGGTGAAAATCCATAATTACAATTTTAGCTTTTTTACAGGACATTTATAAAAGTCAGCATTAACAACAGAGCGCTTACGTCTTGATTGTTTTTTTTTCATTTTATTTTGATAACAAATCCTTATTAAAATCGATTTAAAAAAACAGCGAGATGCTGCAAAGGCTACCCGTCAAAGATACTTTACTACCGTAGTGTATCGTGGAATGTTTCAGGATAAGCTTCTACGTTAGTTTGTAATCTTACCTTCTTATAACATCGTCTATTTACGAATATCCAACCAGGGGGACAGTTTAATGGACGAATAAGAATACCTCTTTTTTGACGTGGACCTAATGTGGCACCATTACTCAACACAACAAATATTACGTAGAGAAAAAATACACTATAAAATAAAATTCTCATTTTGATCTGAACAAGTATTTTCACTAAAGAATACAAATTTTATAGTCGGTTATGTTGTGTACTAGAACGTCTGCAATTTTTAAGAATCTGCTAGAAAATACAAATTATAAGCGATAAAGGTACATATTTATATATTATTTCTTATCTCATTCGTCAGTTTCTTTCACCGCTTCCGCTGGAAATGCAACAGTTTGTATTGAAAATGAGGCAAATGTAATACATAATGTAGGAGATGACGCACACCCAAATTTTCAACCCGGAAAAACCTTTAAAAACCACCCCTTTGGATGAAAATAATATAATTTTTTTTTCAGCTTGAAACGTTTTAATCATGCATTTTTATCAAATTAAAATTGATTTCTTGATTAAAAAATCTTTTTTATTGATTGCAACGCTTCAACCAATGAAAAATACCCATTCTTTCGAAAATAAAATGAAAAAATATTATTGAAAGAGTAGAAACAATTTAAATGTGCATTCGTATTAAATAAATATTTATTCCCTTCCCTTATAAAATAATTTTGAATTGATTGCAACTTTTCAACCCTTAAAAATTACCCCTTACATTTATAAATTTTTATTTTCCTTTTTAATAATAATAAATACAAAAAAAAAAACATTATAATTATATGTAAATGATTATTCGTCGTCACTGCTATTCTCTTCACAATCATGCTCGTCCTCTTCGATGATCAAAATAAACCGAGCTTCCGGCTGCCACAATTTGCTCCGCAATCTTTTTTGCAATTGCAAAAAAACATTTTCAGCAATTCTTCCGGAACAGGCAAACTACGCATTTTTATTGGTTCCAATACATCTTCGTTTTTTAACTATCCCCAGTCCGTTATATTAATATGTTTGTTTCCCATCCATATTTGTGTTTGTAGATAAACCCTTTTGATGTGCTCATCCAGGGCATCTACAGTTGGGACAAGGGATGATAATTTAACGGCACTGTTTTTAGTGGTGGCTTTAATAAACGATTCATATCGCATCTGTTCGAGCAAAACTGAGTAATGCTTCAAAATTCTTATTTGAACTAAATTTTCCTAAAATTATCACCTATACTCATGTTTATTTTTTTGACGATAACTTTCTTACTTTTTAAGATTTTTAATCGCACAAAGGCTCATTTTGCAGGGAATTGTAAGGGCTACGTGAACTGTTGAGTTGATCTTTTTTAAGTCCTTCATTCTTAAGTTTGAAGGATTTAAAGGGCTAGAAAAGGGTGGTTCTCTCATTCATATGATAACAAAAAATGGCGATATCTCGATTAATATTAATTTTAGAGGAATAAAAAAGAAAGCGAAATCTTCAGCAAAAATAAAGCTAATTTTTTTACGCTTGTATTTTTTTCGTACACCCTTTAATTTTTAAGTTACAGCGTAAAAATCGATTTTTTTTCAAAAATTTGAAAAATTTACATTTTCAAACATTAAGTATTTTTTCGAAATCATGCTTTGTAAATGAGCCAAAGACCCAGAACATATTCTTAGAACATAAATGAAGAAATCTGTAAATGGATTGCATTTAAATTTAATTCTGTCGTCAAAGGCACTGATTTGTTTATTAATTTTTTTTCTTAAAAAAAATGAGACTATCATGTTATTTCGATCATATAGCCGTTAATTTTGATTCTAAAGACTTCTAAATCAGCTCATTTTAAAGGTTTTTCAAAGTACTTTAAAAAAGGTTCAAACAGTTTTTTTTCCTAATATTTATGGTTTTGGTATTATTTAACGTCAAATGGTTCCAATTTAGTTTTTAGCTAACATAATATAATGTTTAAAAATCCATAACTCGAATTATATTGCAATTAGAGAAAAACAAAATAGTGCCATTAGATTTATTTTTTTATTGCCTTTCTTTTTGTTCATTGCAACTTTTTCGTTAAATCCAATGGTTTCAGAGTTATTTGCAAAAAACTGTCCGAAAACAAGCAATTTTTCAGTAAAAAATCAACATTTTCAATGACGAATTACTCGGAAAGTATTGGATTATCCAAAAAACTTTATATAACATTTGTTACTTAAAATTGACTCCTCTATCGATTCCTGTGGTTATTTTTGGCGTAAAAATTTCCACCCCCAAGAAGGGATGGCAACCACCCTCAGGACAAAAGCACACTTCGGCACTATATAAGTTTTGTTCCTTGAGGCATTCCCCACATTCAGTCAAAATTTCACGTCAATCAGTTCTGGACTAGCGTACGCTAGCGTTTATTTTGTACACTTTTTTTATCAATGTCTATTTTTTGTGTTACTGTATTTACTGTATGTATGTATGATGTAGCCATTGATAAAAATGTTTTAAATAATCAACAAATACCTATTTAGTCAACTTCAGATCATGGGCGAAGTTAGGTCATCGGATCTGGGGGGGCTAAAGCCCTAATGTAATTTGTTCGAATTTTATTGTTGCTTGAATCTGATTAAAAGCATTATTTATCTTTACTATGTAATTTTAACCCTCATTTTAATCGAATATCAAAGTTTATCGCGTACCGTGGGTTTAAAAAGTGTAAAAATAGGTATTTTTAGTATCGATCGTTGTTTATTGTGAAAACAAGTATCTCTAATAAATTATGTGCCCTTTCTAAACCATAATATAAACCCACGGAACACGACAAACTTTTGAAATTTTATTAATTAACAATCCTGTCAATCGAAAACCATGCGATCGATCGTTGCAAAATATTTAGGGTAGAATTGACAATATGTTTTACTATTTATTCACAAAGTTTCATCAATATTTATAAATATTAGCTTATTTTAAAAATTGCTCCAAATATACAAACGATTTTCTACTATTTTTCGCCCATTGGTAATGCAAAATTCAACGTTTCTGATGCGCATTTGTTGTAACTTTATAAAAAATCGTCAAATAAACAAAAAATATGGAATGACTTTTTTTTATTTAAGGCTTACTTTCAATGTTACTGGGAAAAATATGTCGAAAGACGGGTCATTTTCGTTCTTTTTGTATGTTCGTTGTTCCCCTGGATTTAGCAATGGTTTTTTGGAATAAGCAAACTAGGATTTCTTATTCTACATAATATTTGGGATTTTTCTGTTCAACAAAATAGATGACTTCAAACACAAACGCCAAAGCCTACTTTTACTGTTGTACCGCCTGGGCTACTACAAAATAGCAGTGTGACGTGACGCGAGCAGTGGGAATTTGACCACATCCGCAGTAACATTAAGTTTTATCTTTATATTGTTAAATCTATTATTTTATATGTATAAGTATTATTTCGTTTAAGTAATAATCTTTTTATTAAAACGTATTTATTTAAGAACATATAACCCATGCATTTTAAGTAATCAAGTATATGTATATACAGGGTTAAGAATGTAATGAAAACCGCAAATATCTGAGAAAATTGAAACTGTAACATCTACAATGCCTTTATCGGTGAAAAGAGAATTTGATTTGTTATAATATGGTGCAAAAAATACAGGTTGTTTCGTTTGAATTTAAAAAGTTTTGTCGTTTTTAAGTTTTCAAAATGTAACATAAAAAATGGGACACTTAGTATAATTTTCTTCAGGTAAATTTGACAGTAGAAGGTAGTGCATCTTATCTTCTTTGTGTGTTTCGAAAAGCAAGTGAAAGCTTCCATAACGAAGAAAGATATAAGGAATTTTCGAAACGCTTGCATCTGTCAAAATTTTTGTATAAAATGTTATGATTATGATTATCCCTAAATCGATTAAATTTAGGTACAGGGAAGCTTTAACATTTTCTATTTATTTTTATTCTATCTTGTCGATAATTCAATAATATATAGGGTGTCCCATTTAAAATAACAAAGTTGACAGCTACTTCCGGTATAACGAAAAGTGCTACGTTGATGGCATTATTTTCATTGAACAGAACATATCTGATAATTCCTGTAAACAGAATTTCAGTCAAATTATCTTTGGTTTCAATGAAACGTTTAATAGACCACTTACCGTGAAGAACCCTGTATAAGGGGTGCTTATAATAAGTCTGCTGCCGTTATCTTTGTAATTATTTTTTATATGACCTATGCTTATGCCTAGTTAAGTAATTAATTAAAATTACATGGCATCCATTAATTGTTAACACATCAACAATTTATTAAAATATACAGGGCTTTCATTAATGTCCGAGACCCACGTGACCAAATTGGTTGTCACTATCAATAAATTTGATTTTCTTAAGTTGGCTATTATGAAAAATTTCAAGTTTAGGGACCCTAAACCAGCTGTCAGTCCAAAGGCGTCCACGGTACCGCGGCCGATAGTTATTACGTCATTACTTTCTTATGCCAGTACGTTTTCCCTTGATTGTTTTTCTGATGTACCAACATTTTTACGTTTATTTACTTTACTGACAACAGTTCTTTTCAGAACTACATAATTTGTTTGTGTTTTTTACGTAAGTAAATAATGTATTTTAAGGTTATGTTTACTTATATCTGTCTCATTTTTTTATACTTCAAGTAATTAAAAATGCCTTTTACACCTGAGCAAGATGCCTATATTTTAAAGGCACATTTTCGGAGTGCCACGCGAAATCCAGATGGAATTTGGTCATATTCATTACAATCCTGTATTGATCAATTCACTAAAGCTTTCCCTGATGTAGACGCTGATTATGACGTTTTTAGAAAGCACAAATCAATACTTGAGTTATGATGAAAAACATTGTATTTGTAAGGGGAAATCAACAGACAGACCAACAGGTTTAACTGAAAATGCAGTTGACAATATTCGACAACGTATGGAGCAGAGCCCTAAAAAATCTATCCCTCAGTTTTCTGCCCAAACAGGTATGCAGGTAGTTTTTATATTACACACATTAAATACTTGAAACTATATTTATAATTAACTTAAAAGCTTTAAAATTAATTTTATGTGTATTAATCTGAAATCACATAAGACGTTGTGAGAATGTGAGTCCGCAGTGTTAACTGCAGAGCAGAATCATCTAGACAAAATGAAGCAGCACAAATTTGAGACTGTTATATGTTGTAAAAAAATTAAAATGTTATATCGTTTAAAGAAGCCTATGTACATTTCTGAATATTTGTTTTGTCGATGGGGTTCTCGGTGAG